AACAGTAGTAATCTAATTTGAATATTCCAGGTGACCGTTATTTTTTTAGACTCCAGTCCAAAGAGGGAAAAAAAAAAAAAAAAAAAAAAAAAAAAAAAAAAAAGAGGTTAGATGGGGCAGCCCTAAACCTACAGCTCCTAGGAGCAAGTATCGACCGTTGATGGTTGAGATGGCATCTTTATCTTAATAGTGTGCCTATAGTTTATAATATATAAATATATTGGCAAAGTCTTCGATCGGGCAGTTATAACGATTGTAATATTTATTTATAGATTTATAATTTTTAGGTATAACACGGTAATATTAACGTAAGTACTTTGATTAGGAAAAAAAATAGAAAAAAGTATAATGTAATATGAAGGTAGACTATATTTTACTGAGTTTATTAAAACACAAACTTACAAATGATATTGCGATAGCAAACAAAAAATGCTATAAGTACTGGATATGTGTGCTGTCGGACTGGAGAATATATATATATATATATATATATATATACACATATATAATAAATACAGTGTTCTTTTCGTTTAAATGTTTATCGTTTACAAAAACCTTTTTCACAAGTCAAGACGTCTCTTTTTATTTACTGTTAATTTTCTTATTATATACACTTTTTCGTTTAAAAATATAGGTCAATTCATCAATCTGGCAGCCACATGGGAAACAACACCAACGTGAAAGGTTTTTTTGTGAAGCAATGCAAAAGATGAATTATGACTGGCAATCTGGATAGCGATATAACGACACAATTTGAAATTTATACGAAGTTAGCGGGTTTAAGTTTATTATAAATGAGTTTGAGTTATAATCGGATTGACACGATTAATACGATTAATAAATGAGTTGGGTTAGGGTTGACCTCCTCACACGAAGTGACACGAATTGACACGATTAACTATATGTGTCATCCGCAATCTAATGATATGTGATATAACAAGAAAGTTTATATGATATATTAAATACAAATAATGTGAATTTTAATATTTGTAGGTCAAATTCATTTATTTTTCTTTAAGGAAAAGATAAATTGACCAATAAATATTTTAAACGTATCTTGATTGTGTTAAATAATTCATTATTATATTAGTTATTTATTTAATATATTAATTTAAACGGGTTATAATGGTTGACACAATTAATAAGATTAATAAATGAATCGTGTTTGAGTTGAGTTTTTTGAGACGTTTAATAAACATGTCGTATTTGAGTTGATATTTTTTAACACGATTAATAAATACGTTGACACAAATGACTTACTAACAAGAATTGACACCCTTAAAATGAACCTCACGGCAGACTTCAACACGCTATGCTATAACAGTGTAGGCCCTACATCCGAAATTGATTTTCTATTGAAGTTAAGGGTGTAACTCTAACTTTCACTTAATTAAATAACGATATACATGATTAAAATAGTATGGGAGTCTATCCTTAAACGACAAGATAATTAATGTAGATCAAAGTGTGACATGCAAGCATAAAAAATGTAACACGACCATATTGGATTTGTAACTCCGCCGAATTTTGACTTTTAAAATGTATAGTGCTCCTTTATAACAAGTTGAATTTTTTATTAATCAAATTTAATAAAAGATGAAAAAAAAAATTGAACAAAGACAAACAAGAATTTTGGGTTATGATAGATGTAGCATAAAGTAACAGTATACATCATAAGTATAACGTATAGTAAGTTTTTGCTAGGTACTATTAATCTTCAAATTTTACAAGTAGTTGCATAATGTACAAAATCCCCTCTTCCTTAGTGTTAAGTTACTTGAAAACTAAAACATTTTGCACTTGTGTAATTAAATCTGTAAGATTTTCAATTATTTTGTGATAAAAGTATCATTATCTTTTATATATAAATTTCAAAAAAAATTCGTCAATTTTTATATCATGAATCAAAATTGTCAAGAAGAAGGAGAAGAAAAAAGTTTGGTGAGTAATTTACCTCAAAAAAAAAAAAAAAAAGAGACCGAAGTATAATAATACTCACAGTCCAGAGACTAAGTGCTAGTAACCATAAAAAAAAAATTATCTTAATCAAAAGAAAATGACGGCATTTCACCATTTTTATTACTATTTGGACATTTACTTTTTTTTTTTTTTAGAATCTATTTTGTACATTTATTAAGTACTTATCAAATCATAAAAATAATTTTAATGATCCCGACATCATGATCTTGTAGAATAGACCCAATTTAGATAATTTTATCTTTGCAGTGTAATGATGCCTTCCCCTAAAAGAATTAGGACACGTTTGGTTTATGAATTAGAACTATGAGATTAGAATTATTTTTGATTTATATGTATTTTTTGTGAGAGAAAATACTATAGCGAATCATAAATCATGATTCGAATCAAAGAACGAATTCTCCAACCAAACGGGCTTTTAATCATCTTTGGTTTGCGGCTCATGCTAGACCAACATGTGAAATTAGTATGAAGATTGATTGAGTTATGCAACGTCATAACTATATTTATGTTTGACCCTCTTTGCGCATCACCAGATATATATGGTCTCATAAATAAATAATAATAGAGCGCTTTTTAGACTGATAGCATATTATATAAGATTATTTTGACCAGTGTTTTGAAAATCCATCTGGGGCTTTAAATTCAACTTAGGCCCCGTTCACTTCGCAGATTTAAATTTTCAATTCGAGTTGAGATGTGATATTTTCTGAGAGCTTTTCACTACAGCAGAAAAAATTGATGTGACATTTTTTTATAACTTTTTACTGTAGAAACCTAAAATTAAAAACTCGAATAGGCGAAATGAACGAGGCCTTAATATATCGTTAGTTAACGTGATTGGGTGGGGAAAGAGGCCTATTTAGAGTTAACGAGAAAAAATGAAATGAGAAAATTACTGAATTTTTTTTTAAAGTGTATAGATTTAAATTTTTACTCTTTATTATTAATTAATACTCTTTTAATTAATATATTTATTTAATTAAAAAAATATTAATCCAAAAATAAAAAATAAAAATTTAGAATTGCACCTTAAAAAATATTTCTCTTTTCCTTCCTAAATGTGTTTAGAAAATGCTTTACATTTACATATATGTTGGGTTCTGATGTGGATTTTAGTCACGTGGTGGAAGCTGTAAAGCAGGTTCTTTTTGCCCCTCTTGTTTGAACAAATTCGTACTGATTTGTGTTAGGGAGGAATTTCTAGTTTTTGATTGTTTGCCAAAACCAGAAAACTGGGTAAGTTTTAGGTTTTGATTGTTTGCCAAAACGTTTGTACCAGAAAAATCCTGATGTAGTTAACATAGATTGATGGTACGTTCCTTGGCGTTGCTCTCTTGAGAGGAAAATTCCCGGCACAAATTTTGTGGTATGTATGTGCGCACGCGCCAATCTATAGTTTCCTCAGAACACAAGGTGCAACAGATCTCCAGCAGGTGGGAAAAGTGAGAGAGATGATTCTTTTTTTTTTTTTTTTCTTTTGGTTTTTTATGTGGTTCCTCACCATTTTTATGGGACAAAATTCTCTTATAGTAAAAGATTAAAAGATTAACGTAATCGGTTAAATAATTAGTGTAATTCTAAGGGTGACTTATCTGTCAACTTTTCCACTATCACCCCCAAAAAACCAAACTCTGCCTTACGTAAAGTTGCCAGAGTACGCTTAACCTCTGGATTTGAAATCACTGCTTATATACCTGGTATTGGCCATAATTTACAAGAACATTCTGTAGTCTTAGTAAGAGGGGGAAGGGTTAAGGATTTACCCGGTGTGAGATATCACATTGTTCGAGGAACCCTAGATGCTGTCGGAGTAAAGGATCGTCAACAAGGGCGTTCTAGTGCTTTACTGAAGAAGAAGGGGCGGGCCGGGTGCTTGTTGGACTCCCACCCCCGTTTCCCGAGAGGGGGCCGGGCTGTGATTCCCCAGCGGCCGGCCAGTGGCGGCAGAAAACGAACTCGGGTGGGCTCCGCGCGGTTCGCGTTTTCTTGTATTAAGTTGTACTCATAATAATTATTATTTTAGGAATCAAAAGTTATTTTTAAGTGTATGGTCAAATAAAACACTATCATGTACTGCTCTAATCAAACGGTCATGCATAACCAGACGTATCTATCAAAAAGAGAACATGACAGATGTAATTCTTCACGACAATATTATTCAGGTTTAAAATGACAGTCGGTTACGATAGAATGACTAGTATTAAAAGTAAAAACAACAGTCGTTTATTGACATGTCTTTTAATATTTTTTTATATAATTATTCAAGACAGGTGTACATGACAATCGTTTATTGCTATATTTTTAAAAAAGACTTCTAGTTTTCAAAATGCTGAACAGTCGTTTATTGACATGTCTTTTAATATTTTTTTATATAATTATTCATGACAGGTGTACATGACAATCGTTTATTGCTATATTTTTAAAAAAGACTTCTAGTTTTCAAAATGCTAACTGTTACGACTCAATATAAGAGAATTACGCTAAGCTTTCAACCGATTACAATTGACACATGAACCCGTAACGATGACACATAAGGGATTTGTCCCTCATTTTTAAATTGGGGGACTATAGACAACTCTTTTTTTCTTTTCAAGAAAAACAAATAATGGACATTTACAATTTGGAGGAATGCTGGCTATTAATTCGATGCACAATTATCTTTTCTGGAAAGAAAAAAAATGGTTTTACAAGAACTTCCACCTCGTGAAAAAGTCGATCCCATTAGGTGATGATGAAGCATTGTAATCTATCAAAACAAACTTCTCTGTTATTGTTCCTAGTAGTGCTAATAACATTTGACAGCTATAAACACCAAACTAAAATCTGCACCAGATTAGGAAGCCATTTTCCTAAGATCATTTTACTTTTAACTCTTCTTTTTCTCTTTTTTTTTTTTTCCTCAAAAAACTGTAGAAAGAGAGGTCTTGGTCCTGGCTAAAGTTTGAAAGACAAAAAAGATGTAGAACTTTCATTCACAAAAAATAAGTCGAATAAGGTAAAAAAAAAATAATAATAATAATAATAAATATGTTATGTTACAAGTTCAGAGAATAATTCATAGTTCGGAACAGTAATGATTCCCATAACTGGATGCGGGTGAAGAAATGACGAGTTCGGGTTCTCAAAGTAACTGTCACAAATCTATTGTCTAATCTACAAAATCTTCTGCTCCAACTACAGGTTGAATGAAGCAGCTTCTCTTAACAATAAACAACAAAAGAAAAGAAAAAACAAAAAACAATGAAACTTTTTCTTGTTGCTTGATGTTCGGACAACAAACTTTAACCATAATTTATGGTGATCCATCTACCAAAATTCTGTCCGTCTCCAATTGTGAGTTTCCTTCTTTGCTTAGCAAGCTCTAGGAAAATTCCATATGCGACCTCACGAAAACGAAAATTTCTGACCGAGTTCATAGAACTAACATAACAAATCAAGCAACATCTTGTGCTGCCTTTCGTCTACCATCAGCATCTTCGCGCTCAACCTGACAGACAAAATAAAAATACTCACAATTACTTAGTATTGTGATAGACATTAAAAATAGATAGAGAACACTTGTATCTAGCTAAGATAAAGCGAACAAAAAACACGACTATTTGTGTTTTAACCATTAATAATAGCCTGATTTTATCACATAACTAATATACCTACCTTTACAAGGAGAAATCTACACTAAACCCGATAAAAATTACAATTCCGACTCTACACAAAAATGGACCTTCATAGCATTCATCATTCCCCTATAGACGCTTAATGCCTGCCTGCCATAGCTTTCTTTAACGTTTTAGGTCTCACAACTTCTAGAGGTGTTTGAACGAAATATTATTAAAAATTTGAGAGCTTACAAGAGGAGACAGTCCAGACTAGCTTCTTTGAAGCCATTCCACTAAAAGGGAAGTAGTTGCCACATGTACTTGCTTTTTCAGTTCCCAATTTGCCCACTATTTTGTGACCAATGAAAAAGAATTTCAACCTTATTCCAAACTTCACCTTTCTTTTCTATTTTCTCCGTCTCTACAATAACTCTAGTAGATTTCATCACTCGTTCTGGTTTTACTTTTACTTTTCTTTTTACATTTAATGTCTTTTAAAGTACACTACCAAAACGCAAGCGCTATGCCTTATGTTTCATTCTACTATTTAAAGTAAATCAATCGTTATCCCAAACGAACACATCATTGGTCATTGCATTATTAGAAGACTTAGAAAATGAACCCCATAACAGAATGGAAAGAAACTAGGACGTCATTTACAATTACCTCAACAAGTACTCTCTTCTTCTTCAACTTAGCACCAGATCCATCTCTGCTGAGCTTTTTAGAGGCCGCTGCAGATTCTTTTCGCACTCTCTTGCGAGAGTGTGGTTCTGCCTCTTCATCATCTTCATCCATTCCAACTGCAGCATTGAACTCTACATAAGCTCATGTGATACAAGCAAATGCACATCTTCTGAATAGTTTATTTAAAATTTAAAGAAAAACATTTTAATAATTTCCAATTAACTTCCTAGTGTGATAAGAGCAACTCCAACCATGCTAGCTATTTTATATTTTTAGCTAAAATGGCTAATGATTGTTTTTAGCTTTTCTCCACTTCAACCATTAGCTAAATAGTTAGCTATTTTAGAGAATGCCTTCCACACTAGCTAAATTAGCTAGCATGGAGTGGCTAGCTATTTCATTTTTTGTATCATTTTATTCTTTCAACTGTAATAAATGCAAAGACTCTTTTCTAAATTCAATAAATATTAAAATAATCTATATTTAGCTCAAATAGGGAGTATGGTTAGAGTGACCTACTAAAAAGTTGCTAGCTAAAATAGCTTTCTTGCCATTTTAGCTAGAATTTAGCTAAAATTTAGAGAGTTCCCTTAGAGATGCTCTAACTGATAGGCATAATAACTAAAAAGAAGAAATAGGAAACTATACCGTTGTCATCGTCTGTGTGGATATGGTCCATCACGAAACCACCAAAGTCCTCTATATCATCCTCTGCTTCAAGATCATCACCAGCTTCAACATATTCTATCTCAGGCTCCTGCGTTTTCCATGAACCCCCCCCCCCCCCAAAAAAAAAAATAAACGGAATGTGCAAGTAAGCAATTGAAGAACCAGTCTCATATTTTTAATAGAAATGATTGTAGAAATAACCAAACAAAAAGAATGTATTGCATTAATACCTCCTCATCTTCTTTTTCTTCCACAACAGCAAGCTGCATCTCTTCCATTTCCAGAAGCTTATTGTATTCTTTGAAAGGATAATTATATATTTCATCATAATTCCTGTTATGAAGACGTTCTACTAATTCTTTTTCAATACTCTGCAGAAAAATATGAAGCCCTTTTGAGAAATATTGAACACAGTATGATTTCTAAAGCAGCACTGTTTTGCCGATTATAACCTTTTCCAATAGAGCAGCTTTTTCTGCCTTTTCCTCCCTCCTAGCCTCCCTCTTTTTCTCTTTTCTTGGTGTTGTCATTATCTTTTCCCTGGTAGACATGGAAACAGAGTGTTTAAGGGGAAAAAATAAATACAACACACACATATATATAGAAATTCATCATAGAAGAAACCACGTCGCTAGACCTCCCAACATGATAATAGTCATAATACAATACCCCAGTAGAAATGAAAATGTAAAGAAGTTAATCTCTCAAGAGTTTCTAAAACATAATTATTTGGAAAGTAAAACATTAGCATTAGATGAACTAAACCTGGTCTTCAAAGCAAGTTTCCTCATGCGTATTCGCATCTGAGTCATTTTAGTCAGCCGTTGCTTTGTCTTGTGTACAAGCAATTTAGGCCAATACATCTGTGAATTCAGTAAGGAAGAGGCAAGTTAGAGATTATTATAACCATTTGCGTCAAGTTTTCAATCAACAAATAAACCTAGGTTTTTAGTACCAGATGTTTGTCAATACTTTCAAGTGCTTTTTCATAATTACTGGGCAATTTAACTCTTTCCCACAATTTGTTTGGCATGTGAGCTCTTTCTATGGTTTTCATATACAGATAGAAAACTCCTGCAAGACAACACCAAAATGACATTTAAAAAAAAAAATTATAAGCATAAATAAAAACATTAAGAGTGATATAGAAAAACATAATAAAAAACATAGTTTGAGCCAAGTCGATAAGAACCTAAGATCTTGCCCAATGTCAGTTGCACTGCTTATCAAATGCAACCAACGAGATCAATCCATTTGTTTCGCGGGTTTCAATTACAATTCAAACCTTTTTGCTACAGAGTTTTCTCTCACAAAAAAATTCAATTTCTGTTCAAACTTTCAATTCGAACCCATGAACCAAACATACTTGGCTTAATAAAAAAACAAAATGATGGCATAAAATTAAAATGGGCATGCCTTTTGCACCTTAAGTTTCCAAGTGACCAAATAAGAAAGCTCGAACGTAAACAAACATTTCTTGTGTGCTGATACATAAAAGAACAATCAACCACTGAACTGAATCATCAGAAAAAAGATAGAGTGAAAGAAGAACCATTAAATAAACCTACAAAAGATAAATTTTAAATACGTATACTAGTTAAAAAACAATGGCATGTTATTTAAACTGTGATTTGCATTTCCAACAGGCATGTACAGCATCTATAGAATAACTTCCGTTGTGAAAGTTATTTGGTGTTTTCATACGATATCCGCGATTCCTCTCCATTTCTAGTTCAATAACAGATTATTCACGGTAACTAAGCAAGTACCAAACAAAAGCAATTAACTTTAATTGAAATTATGGGCACTCATATTTAAATCTAATAATAAGACATTTCAAATTATCAAGTTATGCTAGCACATAAAAAAGAAGAACCAATTACAGAATCAGGAAAAAGTAGTTTTAAAAAAAAAAGGTACCATCATGTTCACGAATAGTGGCATAGCGACTATTGGCGAGAGGGCAAGAGCTTCGGTTACAGATTCCAGTCACGTTATATGGGTTCCGACAGAAAATCCCAGTTTCGATTCTGCAAATACCAAATCGGCGGTTTTGAGATTACAAATCAAAAGTGTTTTAGATACGAAACTAAACGAATCAAAAACAAAAGAATGAAGAGAAAAAAAATGAATAAATTAAAGAAAGAAAGGAACTAACTTGGCCATGAAGCTGCAATGCTTGTGCCTGATAACCTGCCATATAACCTCGTCGTTCTGCATCTTTAATTATTGAAAAAATCTACAAAAGGGTCACCAAGAAGGTTTCGGAAAAACGGGGACGCTTTCGGGTTTAGTGAGATACGAGGAATGGGGAAAGACAGTATCGAAGGAGTGGTGGCCGTAGGAGTGAACAATCTTTCCGACCGGAGAAAATGTAGAAAACTCGAGAGGAAAAAGAGGGCGGCAGAGAAGAAACAAAATAGATAACTCACTTAGTTAGGGCTATGTTAAGGGTATTCTCGACATTTGATCCTCGCCACCCCGTAGAATTTATAAATAGAGATCCCACGCCATCAAATCTTACGGGGTTTTCTTAGGTTAGACGTTTAGGATGGAAACGTTAAACTGAAATTTATGGTGCGTATAATAAATGAATCTAAAATTATTAATTTATAATCGGTATTTATTTATAGTGATTTTAAATTATAATTTAAAATTAATATTTAGTTTAAATAATTTTAAATTATAGTTTAGAATCTGATATAATATTTTAAATTAGTTCAAATTATGATTTTAAAAGCACCTCCTCTCTTGATTTAACGTAATTTAAACTCTTAATTTTAAATCATAATTTCAGAATCATGATTTAAACCTAAAATTATGAATCATATTCACTCGTAAGTCGTACTGATTGACAACATTTTTTTTCCATCCAAATAATTGAAAAAAAAAAAAAATATATATATATATATATCAAAATGTATATTATAGTTTCAGAAAATAAAGAGATAAATTACACAAATAAAAAATGACATTAAAAGATATATTTATGGAATAACAATTGCAATTTTTAACCCATCTGGAGCTTAGAACCAACATACAATAAATATATATATATATATATATATATAGCGTTTATATATGTAACTTAACAATATTGGCCTAAATAACCCTATAAATTCACCTATAATCCCTCCAAACAAAAATAAATAAATAAAGTCTCTTTTTCTTCAGGATGTGTGTGTATGGCCTAGATCACCTTTTAGACTCTTAAAGCTGAATCCGACAAATCTATATATCCATATATATATATATATATATAAAGCCGGCTTCGCCACTGCAAAATTTGCAAGTTTCTTTATGCATGGTAGTTCATGAAAACTACTATACTACACTTTTTTTTGTATAATCTAAGGATGGAAACGTTAAACTGAAATTTATGGTTTGTATAATAAATGGATCTAAAATTATTAATTTATAATCGGTATTTATTTATAGTGATTTTGAATCATGATTTAAAATTAATATTTAGTTTAAATGATTTTAAATTATAGTTCAGAATCTGATGTAATATTTTAAACTAGTTCAAATTATGATTCTAAAAGCACCTCCTCTCTTGATTTAACGTGATTCAAACTCCTAATTTTAAATCATAGTTTCAAAATCATGATTTAAACCTAAAATTATGAATCATGATTCTGATTCTAGAATCATAAATAGAATCACCCTGACTTGAATCCTTGTATCAAACGAACCCTTAATTCCTGCGAGAAAAAAATACCATAATAAAAGGTTGATTTGCAATTAAAAATATGAAAAAAGGGCCTTAGACTTAGTATTAAAGCCTTTTTTAAAGGTAAAATTTTATTCAATTAAAAAGTCTTACAGATGCGATGATCTTGTGGTGCACAATATAAAAAATTTGGGGTCTGTTTGGTTCACGTGTTTATTCAATGATTTTGATTCATATTCAAATTATTTGTGAGAACCATTGACGAAAATTTTTGTATTCAATTTTTTTGTGAGAGGAAAACATTATAGCAGAATTAGAATTATGGGTTCAAATACATGAGACAACCATTGACATGAATTTTTTTATTCAAATTCTTTATGAGAGGAAAACATTGTAGCAGAATCAGAATTATGGGTTCAAATACGTGTATCAAGCAGGCCCTCAATAAAACCTAGTTCCATCAGTAAATTCTGACGAAGCACAGGGAAAGCGACACAAGACGGACATCGGAAAAATTCCTCAATATATCAGTTTGAGCACTTATAAGGCTCTTTTTGAAACCACAATAATTGATAGAAGCTTTCAATTCATCAGAACATGTAACTTGTAACTCTAAGCCCACCAACATTTCCGCTAGACTCATAGTTAGTGGAATTTCTAATTCGTTAAGACCTCAATCTGACGAACCGAAAATAAACACAAATGATGGAGGGTCCCACTTCCATTATTACAAAAAAAAAAAAAAAATACTAAAACTACATGGTAGAAATATCAATGTCTTTATTAGATAAAACATAAATAGCTAAAATCTAAGAAGATAAAACATAAACAGCTAAAATATAAGACACGATCACCGCATACCTTAATGACAGTACAACCAATGAGAGGACCATCAGGGTAGGAAGAACACTTTTAGTGACAAGTGGCGAAGCTGGCGATATGTCTTCAAACAGCAAAATGTGAAACAAACGCACCACCACCGTCAACGTCTAAAGTTGACAGCACCACCTCCAAAAGAAGCCCACCATCGTTCAAAATAAAACTTTTAGGGCCCGTTGAGTTCGCTGATTCGAGTTTTTAATTCGAGTTGAGATGTGATTTTATGTGAGAGTTTTTTACTGTAGCCAAAAAGTTAGATGTGATTGTTTGTGAGAGCTTTTTACTGTAGCAAAACTCGAATTCTAAACTCGAATCAACGAAATGAATGAGGAGAGTACAAACACTAGACGAGGAATGTGTCAGAAAACGCCTCCAAGCTATCTGGATTCCATCATCTAAATAAAATCAAATCCGCCCCAACGAAGCCATCTCACCAAACACAACTACCACTATTAAAAAGCCCACAACAATACGAGTTCCGTAACTAATTTTCAAAGCCGAAGGTCCATCAACACTCCCAGAGACAGTCCCAAAATTTTGACTGACTTACTCTCTCATTTTTCTTTTTCTCATCTCTTTCCTAAGACCGGCTGCTCCACATATTCACTCGTAAGTCGTACTGATTGACAACATTTTTTTTCCATCCAAATAATTGAAAAAAAAAAAAATATATATATATATATACATATATATATATCAAAATGTATATTATAGTTTCAGAAAATAAAGAGATAAATTACACAAATAAAAAATGACATTAAAAGATATATTTATGGAATAACAATTGCAATTTTTAACCCATCTGGAGCTTAGAACCAACATACAATAAATATATATATATATATATATATATATTATTGTCTATAAAAGAAGGAAATTGTCTTTCAATGATGTGAGGTTTTTGGAGTAAAGCACAAAAACAAAACTGTGGAGACTTAGTCACAAAGTGGATAATATCATACAAAATAAAAGTGTGGGTCGTTACAATTCTTAATAAAAAAAATATAATTAAAAAAACTTTTACTCTTAAACAAAATTTGCAAGAGCTTGAAGTTGAGAGGCAATGTCACAAGGCTTATAATTGGGGAATTTTTGCATTTGACCTGACATTTGCGGTGAACAAGATAATGAAAAGGCAAAATTTGCAAGATATATATATATATATATATAAAGTCGGCTTCACCACTGCAAAATTTGCAAGTTTCTTTATGTATGGTAGTTCATGAAAACTACTATACTACACTTTTTTTTGTATATTTGTTCAGGTTATTTATTTTTCAAAAGAAATAAAATATAGCCAATGAGATTGAAAGTCGGCTTCGCCACTGCAACCAACCTAGAATATTATCATACTGCGTATGAACGCTCACTCAATAAATAGATTACCTCTAAGTGGTTTGTCCATGTCAAGTTTTATAAGGTTTTCATTCTAGTCTCCCACAATAACTTGTTTCACTTGATTAATAATTACGTTTAATTCTTGATATAAAACATGTACTCTTAAACCAAGTTGTGCAAATTAAAAAAGTAATGTTTTCTCGTTTAACGGTGACGCGTATATAAGAATCTGCTGATACTTTGTTCTAAGACAATATATAGGGCGCATGTGAGAATATTATGAGCTAATTGATAATAGAATTTGATTAGTTTCAAAAAAGTTTTAAAGGTCACAAATCTTTGACTAAGCCTAAAGATTTAAAACGCTGTCAATTACTACTCCTAACATGAGTTAATTTCATGCAAAGAAAACTAAATATATACCAATCCTAATGCAACTCTAATTAAGCAATTAGTGTCCCAATTAAGCTCTACTATACGACTGATCACTTAATGTTATTAAACATATATATATATATATATATATATATATATATATATATAACGTGAACATCATTCGAGCCCTACAACTCCTAACATGATCTGTACTTTTCCTTGTTGAATTCCATTAGAAAACCAAATACCAATTCAACTCTAATCAAGCAATTAGATGAAGATAGTGATCAAGAACGGCGTGGTGATGAAGAAACGTGAAGTTGAAGCTGCAGAAACAGAAAAAGAAAGTATTAATGAAGAGCGTCTTTGCAAGAGACTAAGGATGGTTATCAAGAAGAGAGGTTTGAGGTTGGTTTCTTCGTCATTCTACATACCCAAAGGCGAACTGCGGAAGCCTCTAGGTGAAGATGCCTATTTCGCCGCCGACGAGGAGCAGACATTCGGAGTGGCCGACGGCGTTGGTTGCTGGGCCAGACAGGGCATCGATTCTGGGAAATATGCGCGAGAACTCATGAAGAGCTCAAATGGCAGCAGCGATCGGAGTGGGCAAAGAAGGACTGGTTCAAGTTGATCTTAAGGGAGTTTTGCAAGAGGCTTTCTCCAAGACCAAACTCCCAGCGGCCTCAACGGCTTGTATTCTGACACACAACGAGGGCGTTTTGCGTGCCATTAACGTCGGAGATGGCGGATTCATGGTGTTCAGAGACAGAAAATTGCTGTACACATCTCCGACGCAGCAACACCATTTCAACTGTCCGTATCAGCTTGGGAATGCGAAGAAAAGCAACCATCCTAATTGCGCCGTGGAGATGGAAGTGAAAGTGATGGAAGAAGATCTGATAGTGATGGCAACTACTGACGGGTTGTTCGACAACATGCATCCGTCGGAAATCGAGAAGATCATCGAGAGATTCGAGACGGAGAAAAAGGAGAAACTACTGCTGGAATTGGCAAAAATTTACTCGATTAAGGAAATGAGTTAAAGTCGTATTACAGTTGATAGCAAAAATTTACTATCTCAAGGATACTCGCTATTAAGTAGGAGGGCCGTCATTCAATTTTCCGTTGGTGTACACTAAAATTTCTTTGAGAAGTACATTAATATATATTGACATTATACATAATTCTTATTGAAACAAAATGCAAAAAACATTTTCCCTTTATAATTTATGAAACAGGGCTTGCACTGAGGTAACTAAAGAAGTAAAAACAAATTATCAGCGCATAAGATTTTACAACCCAATACAAAGTTGTCGTACATCTAACCTATCTGTATTGTGCAAAATGGCCTTTAATCAGTTACTATAAAAGAATGTGTTATGGTCTGTGGTTCCACAACGATCCTGTGTCAGGCATGATTGAAAGTTTAGCTTCAAACATTCTGCGTCAAAGTTCATCAGTCTTTCTTACTCCGAGCAACATTTGTCGGGTCGACAACTTATCGAATATTCAAACGCTAACCAACCCCATTCTTTCTTTATAGAGATTGACTCGCGCGGTGAAATGCTGTCGAGCAGGTAATAACAGGCTTTCGTGCTGCCATCGTTCGCCTCAAGAGGCTGCAATACAAAAGTGTTTCATCCTGCATCAATCGAATAATTTGTGTTACTTTTTCCTTCCATAACATCCAATGAATTAATTAGAGTATATATATCAGAATATCCAAACTTTTGCGGTACAAAGGACAAAAACATTAGGAGAGAAGTACATTATATATTTGTCTCCAAGTATTCAACGTTCTCACTAAGACGTTTATCAAAACCACCTGCAACAATTGCTATGTATGAGGTTCGTGCTTGTAGATATAACATTGCGGCGATGTTTAACTTTGAGCTAGCTTTTTTGGCCATCTTGCATTTACCTTCTCGTTTGTTTGAATTAAAAAAGTACCCTCTCTGTTAAATTGACAAATTCTTTCATATAAACCCTTTGATGAACAAGTAGTAAATCAAGATTTGAACGTCTTCATAGGAGAACAATATGTTTCCTGCATCTTTTTTTTTCATTTATATGTTCGTACAGACTGTAACTCTTTTTTTCTATATTTTTTTAACAAAAATTTCACTAGAAGGGGTTAAGTAGAAACAATTCAAAATTCAGATGACAAAATGAGAGCTTTTAAAGTTCCACGGACAAATTAGTAATGACCTCAAAATTCAAGAGTACTGGTGATAATAATCCTAAAATCAATTTTAAAAAATTAAAAATTCTCAAAATAGTTGACCTATTGTTTGGTTGAAATATGTATTACATTTTAAAATTTTTTATTAGTTGTTTTAGTTAAGTCGTATTCAAAAAAAAAAAAACATTTGATATAGATTGGGAAGGCTAATTTGGTATCTTAAGAACTTTAATGCTTTAGGGGATATTTTGAGTCTTATTTTATAAACATAGGAGACTATGTTTTGAGGATTTAAATAATAAGAGGGATAAAAGTGATATTTAAGCAAAAGATATAGGTGTTGTGGATATTTTCCTTTAGGAAAAATTAGGTGGTTGGATAATTTTTAGCGATCCCTTTATAAATTAGGAAGCTTCTCTGGTATGACCTGTCTTTTTTTTGAATTAAAACTTTAAAGGTTTGATCTATGATGGTACACGTTAAAATTTTAAAACACATAATATAAAACTGCTACTATTACAAATTAAGCTATTAAAATATAATCTAATGGTTAAAACAGTAGTAACTATCCGTAGTTAGAAATAATAAGTCCTACTAGCTAAATTTCCTTTAAAATTAATAGTTGAACTTTTCTTTTTGTATTCTAATTTTAGGTAAATGCCAATCTTTTTTTAAGGTAAATGGCAGTTTTTTTTCTCTTTTTTCGCAATAAATCAGTTTCTCATTAATTTACCAATGGTTTATCAATTGTAAATTAGTAAATTATTGATTAAAATTAATGAATCACGTATTGATTTTGGTCAATTAATGATAAATCACTAAAAGTAAATGAATGATACTCAACTAAGTCAATCAATGATGGTTAGTTTTTCTTGATTTATCATTATTTATCACTGATAAAAGATCAATTCCTTAATTTCACAAAACATTACTTAAATAAGTAGAAAAGGGATCATGAACATTATCTATAAAATCGCTAGTATGTTACTTAAGTCGCTCACTTGATGCCACCAAAGAATTGTCCGAGTCAACAATGGTCACTCGTTAGACTCCGACAGGTGAAAAGTGGTCACCCAGTGAGTGACTCCGATTATCAAATTCGATTGTTATTTAGTGAGAAACTCTGACAGCCGGGACAAGGAGACTGCATGCAACCCCAAAAATAAGAATTGGGACAAAGATCTGACGGTTTTTAAGGAGAGAACACAAATCTTTTTATATGTCTCTGGAGATGCATTTATCTAATTTCGCTTAAAAAAATTGTGGTTAGTCTTTATTTTTCCCCTCAATTTGTCCCTCTATTTTTGCCAATTATACAGCGCATCATTTGGCTATAGAAAACATTTTTCAGTTTTATATCTGTTGCGCTCTTTGTCGATGAAAACAATGGGAGAAAGATACAAATACCTTTAAATGGTTTGTAAAATCTTTTTAAAGATTTAAGGAAAAAAAATAAAACCTAAAATAAAGCATGAATTTCATAATAGTTTTGTTGTCGTTTGAGATAATCACTTGGATATCTTGTTGTATATATATATATATATATATTTTTTTTTTAGCCATGAAGAGGTAAAGAGCATGTTTTTCATACGTTTTTGAAATAAATAGCATGTTTTTAAAACGACTGAAGTAAATAATTTACAGCTAAATAAATTATTTAAACATAGGTAAAAGATTGCTTTCTGAATTCGATCAAAGCAATTCCAATCTCACCATTAGTCATGCCCATAAAACAAGGAAATAAAACGATGAATGAAAATCGTCTAACCAATTTGCCGGCCAATTTGTCAGATATCCTAGTAACAAGCAAACAAATTGATAAAATTATCATACAATGCATTAGCCAAACATTGAATGATTGTTAATACATTCAAGGAATAAGAAAACAAAACATATCAAAAAAGAAAAAGTCAACTGAATGTAAGAGTAAGACATGATATAAAGAAATTAAACAAATATCCAAGCCAAAAGAGATGCTATTTATAAAAGGTAAAGTTCATTGGTCTTGTAAAATGAACTCAGTAAAACATCTAACTTTATTATTCCTAAAACCAAATAAAAATCCAAATAAAGATTAAGCATTTAGTAACTTTATTATTATGAGCAAAAAAATGTAATTGTCAAAAAGGCCACGATGAAACAATGGAAAACAGTTTTTCTAATCCGAGTAGCTTTTAGCATGTTACACCAGTAGGTTTGTAATAGAAAATTCAAGTTGCTGAAAGAGACATCTCAACAAAGAAATTATCTAATGAGTGCACTGACTCTTTTCTTTTGATAAGAAGTTTAAAGGGCATTTTCGTTACTTAATAATATTTTTCTCATTTCTCATCTTGCAAGCAAAGTCTCCTGTGCTTTCTTATAAATTAACCGTTTGAAGAGAGAGGTAAATTAGATTTATGTTTAGGGTAATTTCCATGGTTTCTAAAATTAAAAATATATATATATTAGAAAAGAAAAAAAAAAAAAACTTAGTGGGAATTTGAACTCTACACCTTAGAGTAGAGTCAAGTGTATGCGTGCAAACCGCTAATTTTTATGGATTAGGTGAGATGTGAAAACAAATTCCATAATCAGAAATAATGCTAGAAACTTAGTGAAATTCCAGAGTAGTGTCCAAAAACAATATGCTCAAACTACTTACTATTTTTATTTGGGGCACCCATTTGCAAGACCTCAAGAATAGCTTATAAAAGGAGGACCATAAGTGAAGCAATGAGAATCATCCAAAATGCCAAGCTTAATCTCTTTTGGAGTTCTCAAGTAAACCAGACGCTAGAGAAACCCTTCTGGCATGAAAAGGCCATAATTTATGGAACCCAAAACCAAAGTGGGACTCTGCCTTTTTGCGGCATTGGCTTCCCCCATGGTCATAAAGAATGGTATAATTTGAGCTGCTTATGTTTCTTAAATAACACAAATCATCCCCATTATACTTGTAAACTTGCTGTGTACTCCCAAGTCCACTGACTACCAAATTCTTCTTGACAACCATATTTCCCTGGCACCTCTGTAGATTCTCCAGATTGCTCGTTGCGAAGCCGAGACGAGAGGAGCCTTTAAACTTCTTCTCATGGAGTCCCAAAGTGACGTTTGTAATGTATAAAGAAGATTCATTTCCTTGATCAAAGACGTTGGAATACATGTAAAACGAAAACTTTTTCTGAGATCTCAATGAGTGAACTTGTGAAGAATGCGGCAAATTTGCATCAACGGAGTCATTGAAATAGATGCTCTGATCCACAATCTGCATATCCCCATTGTTTCCCATCACCATTGAATTACTAAAATAGAAATCCTGAGTGAAACCAGTTGTAATGTTACCATACGAGGACTTAACCCAACCGGCTGATTTCACAGACCGGCTTATGCTTGTCAGAAACGTCCCGTTCAAACCGGTGAAATTAGACACCAAGGAAACAACAAGAGGCAAGCTAACATGCTTCAAAACCTCTCCTTCAGTCCTCAGACTCTTCTCATCCAACCAAAGATGCAAATTCGCATCGACGTACCAAACGTTCAACGCATTCGTGACATTAAAACTGATCTCATGACTCTTCCCATCCAAAACCCTCCCTAAAAACGGCGTGATCTCAATATCATAAGAAGGCAAATTGAATGACCCAATACCAGTAATTGGTCTCCACAAAAGGGGATTAACCCCACCAGTGTAAATCACAGTAAAAGGCCAAATAGCACCAACAAGTTCACCATCAAGACTTACCACAACCTCCCTAAAAGGCCCATTTCCAGGAGTATTAGTAAGATTATTTGCATCAATATACTCATTAATAACATTAGAATACCAAAACTCATCATTCTCATGAAAAGAAACATAAACCTCAAGAACAGCCCTATAAGCATTTTGCGGAATTTTCACCTCTTTGAGCGATAAATCAGTGGAATTCTCAATTTCAAACCACAACCCATCATTCAAAGGCAAATTTCTCGAAATGGGCAAGATCAAATCCGCCGGAATATTATCTTCCACCCCATCAAAAGCTTTGGACTTCTCCTCAAAAGGGTAAAAATGGAAAGTCAAATTTACATGATAAACCCCAGTGTACGTACTATCAACCAAATTGCCAAGATAAACAGCCAAAGTCTGGTTTTTCTTGAGAAGCAATGAAGAATACCTCGTCACATCCTTCTTAACGCTCCAAAAAATCCCCGTAGATCTCGGCTCGGCCGTACAGCTGCGGAGAAGCTCGACGCCGCCAAGCCAGACCCCGAAAATCCGGTCGAATTGTCTCCCTCTGCAAGTGGCCCGCCATTCGAGGACGATCTTCGAGAACTTTCTAGAAGGGCAGTGGGAGGGAGGGTCGTACGGGGCGAGGACCGGGGGTTTGCCGTAGGTGAAGGCGAAGTCGTGGGCGAGGACAAGGTGGGAGCAGGGGGTTGTCGTTTTGGGGAGGTTGATGGGTTTGGTGACTTCGAAGTAGCCAGTTGGTGGGGTGTCGTTTTGAGGGGTGGTTTGTCGTAGTTGTTGGGGGAGGAATTCTGGTCTGAGGGAGTGCAGATTGGCTGTGGAGAAGACGGGTTGGTGGAGGAGGAGAGAAAGTGAGAAGAAGAGGAGAGAGAATGGAGGAGTGGAAGCCATGGAAGAAATGTAAAGAGAGTTTTGTTGTTTGCTTTTTGTTTATGTCGTTCAATTTGCTTTGCTTTTCTCGTCGTGGTTTTAAAAAGGAGGATTTTTTATTTTTTTTATTTTTTTGGAAGTCCTCCAGTAGGAGTGTAGGACTAGCTCTTTCATTAGGGTGGGCACAGTTATTTTTACGGTTAAATTAAAAATCTCGAAAAGAAAACAAAATTGTTAGATTATAAATTTATAATTATAATAATTTATGCGGTGAGTTATAAATTTTTAAGGTAAAAAGTTATAAATTAATTAATCATTAAAATCGGTTAAAATATCAATACTTTTCGGTAGGTGGAAAAGCACATCTTTTTTTTCAATAAAATACACCGCAAATGAATCTCTTAACTTTTTTTAAATAATTTTAGAAATTATTTGGTGCGGTAAAGAAAAAAAAAAGTTATATATAATATTAATTTAAATTTTACAAATTCTTTGGAAAAATAAATTTTGCAAATTCTTTTTTGTTCTGAGGGAATTTTTGTGATTGCTACCGAAATAATGATATATCAAAAAATCTATAATTTTGGTAACTACAAAAACTCATGACAACAAGTTTTGTTCTCTTTTTTTTTTCCAGTGACCCGGAAGAACAAGTTACGGTAGTCTCGAGCAAAAATAAAGATAAATAATAAAATAATAAAATAAAAATTATGGTAGTGAAGATAGAAAATTGATGGGGAGGAGAAAGCAAAGAAATAATGGTGGGCCCACAAAAGATAAACTTTTGGGGAATGATGTCAAAAGAAATGAAAATAAACACAAAATGACGTTGATTGTTTAATTTATGGATTAAAATTATAAAATTAAAATTATTTTTAACCTATGTATATTTTTTATAAAAAAAATATTATAATAAATTATGAATTGAATGGGAATATGAATTTCTTAACCAAATAATCCTACGTGATATGGAGTATTAACCGCATAGCAGGTATTACTTTTAACCATGTGGACTGTGAGAAAGAAGCAAGTCGTAACAAATAGCAGTCCTCTTGTTAAAATATGTCTTCAATGTGTCTGTAAAATGATTTAAACCAATAAATTATAATAAATTATTGATTGATTTCCCCTAGGCCCCAAGGAACATTAAATCAATATTTTTTTAGGGAAGTCATTATTGCAGGTTTAGCTTTCATTTGTGCAATCGTG